AAAAGAGTTTATCACAAATAACATTTGTGGTGAATAGCTAGTATCATTTAGTCGAAGTATATGTATGGTGATTTATATTTTTTGATAGGAGAGTAGTAGCAACTCGCAGAAACATTTTTAACCGTAAATTATATATATATATATATATATATATATATATATATATATATAGAACAAAATCATTTTTGTTACTGACTAGTTTTACATTTTGTTTTCCACGTCTGTAGATAATAGCATTATTAAGGATTGTGCAAGTTCTTGATAATCCAGGGATCAGATACAAATGACTAGCACAATAAATTCGCTTAACAGTCAGGTTTGGAAACAGGAGGACCAGTGTTAAATGATATCCATAGAAACACAGTGTATAGAAGCACAACTATCATGTGACTTGAAAAAAGTCGTTCGCCTTACAGGTGTAGATGATCACTGCTAGCAATCTATGTCAATGATCGAGGGCCCATCTGATTTGGACATCAGTCGCGTGACCTCCCAGTCTACGTCGACATTACGACCTTTGGTGAATACTCAACTCGGATTTTTTCTTTTGCATTCAGGTACTGTAGTTGCTAAGGTGACCTTATAGCACAAACAATGTTATGGTAGAAATGTATTAGTAAAAATAGGTAGCCACATGCACCTGTTCATGGTGTGCAAATGGCTAACGCGTGTTAGTTGTGGCTGATTTTGACGAGCATTGAATTGGTATTTATTGGTCTAATCACTGTACCATTTGGCTAGAAACGTGTAATATTTTTCGACCCTACACACGATTTTGATGAGATATAGTCTATACATATATAGTTGATATTAATAACAAACTAACCTGCCATGATCATAACATATTGGGTGATTTGAAGTTTGAAATAAAGCATCAAATGCAATTTAGTACCTGCTGTAAACGTAGTAATATTCCCAAACATATACATGAAAACATTAAACGTTTTGTCACAAATTACAAATCATTCGAACATTTTGCCTGGCTTGAAAGTTTAATCATTGATCAGAGTTTAGTAAGAGATGGTTACTTTTTATTTAAATGCAAGAAAATGATTACTCATGCTTTCTGTTGATTGCACTTATAGACGTGAACTCATCCAAATAATTTAATTTGACTTCTCGATGGAACCCGATTGGAATTCACTTTGAATCTGTAAATTTTAATCAACCCATGTCTTGTGGAATACATTATTAAAGTATGTAATTTCTGCTTGTATTATCTGCCCGTCTCGATGTTCATCACAACGCTTTCAAACAACAGTACAGACAATAAATGCTCACAGCGCATTACATCATTGCACACGGTATTAAATAAGTGATTTAACGTTATTTACAATTAGTGTTTGCGATCATCTTACTAGTATACAAACCGAGTTTAAAGCACATACCTCTCCCAAAATACATCAGCCAGGTAGATTAACGTACAGTAGAATAGCCTGAAGATGACACAGGTATTCAGTGTTTGACAACGCTTTTACCAGCAACACCTAATATAATTTGTACCCACCAAGAGAAATCAAAAGACAGAGTCAAGGAGATCGGAAGAGTGTATTTGGCGATAATCAATATATCGGAATTCTCTGATCTAATCTGGCTAGCGATTGCGGTAGGTGTTGAGCACGGCGTTACCACACGTGATCTGGTGCGGATGCATGACCGAGTGCCTTCAGCTAGATGAGTCCACTAAAAAATATGGTCAGCATCCAATGTCGAAAACTTACAGAGCTATTTATTTTGGGGATTTATTTACCGCTACAAGCCCAAATAACATACCAAAAATCATGCCCACAAACACTGATCTACATGTAAGTTTGCAGAATTATAAACCAGGCCGGTATTAAATGAACTTATCGTTGGGTAGAGCAATTTTAGTGTCATTGAATCCTAACCACACGACCTTTGAAGTTAAGCATATAATTGCTGAAAAGACTTATATTCAACAGTTGACACGAAAAGGTGGTTAACTATAAAAAAGCAGGAATATTAATTCAATTCATCTGATGGCATGGCTCAGCCTTGCAGGCGTGGTCGTTCTCGTGTAACTTATATCCATAAATGTTTTGTTCAACAACCTAACTTCGTCATTACTAGCGTTGCTTGTGCAAATATGATCAAATCTGTTAAAAATGCCCGTTATCGAATTTCGTTTGTATCGAACGGAACAATTTTTATTATAACTACTGGCTTGTACACGTTAGTTTTCTAAAGATGGATCGTTAGATTGAACCATCTTCTGTTCTACTTATAGGTATGTTTAAGAAAGGAAGCTGGTCGTCTTCCTCCCCTTTATATGAAAGACTGATGTGGTTCTAAAGTATTAAGTTCGTTTAATTAACAATTAATATAATAATGTTTTTCACAGACAACTGAGATATCATTCACATAACTCTTGAAACGAGATATGTTTTCAATTAGATTTTCAGCTAGATTTCCGACATGTTCCATGAACACATCTGCAACAGTGGTCCTGACTAACTAACGATAGCAACCCCATCGATCTGGCGAAGGTATTCACTTTTAGATGTGAACTGGACTTTGTTAGTGCATAGTAGTACTAAATCCCTAAAACTTTTTTAAAAGAACAGGTAATTTAGGGTTGTTCAAAGATATGTGGTCACATAATATATCAACAGTCGATTTAAAGGTACATCACGCAAAATACCTCTTTAAATCGTCTTACGAACGTTGAATTGGTTTCACTTCCTACCCAGTAATCCTATTACAAGCAAACTAGACAATTCGCTAATATACGAAACCTACTCAAGACCCTATGATACCTGAAAAAAAGTAATAATACAAAAAAATGAAAAGGGCTCCAATTGCTTCGATAAAAAAGATAGCCAATTGTATATCACAATAGTGTTTCTAGCACCATACTTTATTTTATAACCACACATAATCCCATACTCACAACTCCTTTCCGAATCGCCTCCATTTGTCAGTTGTATGTCCACTCACAACTTGTTAACACTTATTTTCTTTAACCTAATAAATGCTCTTTCTTAACAAATACCTTAATAAAAGAAAATTAGAATGAGTAATCATACCTTAAACATTCATTCATGAATATTGGCTATTCTGCCCCTCGTGTTTTCTTTTACTTGCTCCCTCTTTCAGCCCCCTTGTGATATGGAACGAAAGATTTTATCGTGCACCATCCTCAAAGCCTTAGACATTCCAAAGGGACGTAAGGTTGCGACATTTAGAAGCTCCCACCTTCAATGGACCTATCCTTGACCATCAGTTGCACATTCGCAACGCAACTTTCGTGAAGCGCGCCAACTGTGATACTGATTAAAACCATCTACATTTATATCTTATAAATTATCAACCCAGCTGTGTAATTTACTACAGTGGATATTGTATCATTTGTATCAATTTGATCTTGCCTGTAAACTGGCATGCCTCATGTAACAAACTGTTATTTGAGAATAAATTATTATTATTATTTGCAAACAAGGAATTCACGTCACATGAACACATTATCTTTCCCTTGATATTAATATCACCTAAATGATCGACCGCTTTTAAAAATAATCCTTTAGAGATTACTTACATAAACGTCTTCGGACGGGATTAAACAATTTTGGCAGCCATTTAGCCAGGTTGTATGTAGGTGATCGACACACTGATAAAATTGGTTGTAAAGGAACGTTTGATTTTATGAGTTTTGTTTGTTGAGTCACATTATCCCAAATCAGTTATATAATAATTTACGTTCAAGTAAATTGTAAGCGAGTATTTCGAATCTTATTTGACTGTCGAAATCGTATATAAATAATAATTACTAAGTTGGATTGACCAAATAAACTGAGTTGCACACTCAAGTATTGCCTATGTTAACAGAAATATATAAAGTCTGACATATTAAACTCGTCATCAATTTATGATGAATGTTTTTTTTTTACAAATATTTGTGATCAGATTGTTTGAAATGTACGTCCTAATATACCACATAGTTGTGATAATCTTCGTCTTCTCATTGCACTATCCAAATTTATGAAAGGGGCTAATTGCATTTATCGTCGCTACTAGAATGATAGACTTAGTACCAAAATTGTAGGTTTTCCATGATTTGACTGTTCAATCAATGAAGTCTTATGTGAATGTCACAGTATTGTATGTATCGACTCATTCTATCACGACAGTCAGTAGCATGATATTTAGCACATCTGAAGAACACACTAAAGTTGAGGTTAGCGTAATATAGTTAATATGAAAAGGAGTAGGTTACATAGAGTGATCTCACCTACATGATCTAGCCCTGCTATACAGGTTAAGTAACCCCTTTCATCATCCTCGACCCTCGCTCTGGAGTTAGGTGTTGAATGTAAACCTTCCCAGTAGCCGTATATTTACCATCAGGTCTCTTGTGATTGAGAACCGATACCACTACAGGTTCTGTTTATACACAGTCGGATAGCGTAATACTGAAGGATGTATATATGGCTAAATTAATAAAAAAAACTTATGTGCTGTTTCTAAAGCACTCGTATGAAATGTTACGGAAAAAATTAAAATACACAATTTTCATTCTTCAATGAGCTTAACTTTTGGAGGATAGGATTACCATAAACGAGGTTAAAGTTTCTTTCCCTATCCGAACTTGTGGTTTCTGATAAACAGTGATAATTGAGGTTTGCTACTAGCCAACCTATCTACTGATGCGAAACTCTAAATACAATTACTTCCCGTCTCCTCACCTGAAATTTAAAAATGTTTAAGTTTAAGTCTGGTCACTTCACATGAATATCACTTTTTCGGGTTTCATTTTTTAAAATTAAACTATCACAATTTCGGATATGTTGGTGTATTCTGTAGACTTGTTCACCATAAACATTTTGTTTTATTTGTTTGATTAAGAGTATCAACTCTGTAAAGGCGCATGCTTTGGTCCGTCCATTAGTTTGTCAAGAACCTGTTTGTTGCATGTGTCCTACTTAGCTTGAGTTTTGTTCGTTATTGTATTTTGATTTTCGAAATTTAACGCCAGAAACGTCATGGGTGTGTCATGTGGAAATACAACTCGGCTGATCTTTATGCTAGTGCTTGTTATAATTTATTTCCTGGTCGAGTTGGTCGTTGGAATTTCTATACATTCTATCTCTCTGGTCGCAGATTCGTTTCACATGTTATCTGATTGTCTTGCTTTGGTAATTGGAATCGTAGCATCTCAGATAGCCAAATGGCCTCGGTCGTCTAGAAATACTTTTGGATGGCAGCGAGCTGAAGTGATGGGCAGTTTGATCAACACGGTCGTTTTAATTACATTATGCATGACTATTCTTTTGAGGGCTATTGAACGATTTATTGAGACTCAGGCAATTGAAAGTCCTCAAATGATGGTATATGTTGGTTGTGGAGGTCTCCTGGTTAACATACTAGGACTTATTGTTCTTGGCGGTCATTCACATGAGGGTTCACACGGCGGGATCGATTCGGCGGTAGACGTAAGTTACATCTGGGTATTTTGTGCATCATATATTTGTCTAATGGGTAGTTAAGTATGTTTAAATGATGGGTTTGAGTTTATTTTTCAGGCTGGAAATCAGGAAATTAATGTCTTGCAGTAAAGGCTTCAGAAATCGACTTGTTTATCTATCACAAGTAAATGACAATGTATGTCATTATCATTGTTGTCATATCATGAGATTATATGTTACTTTTAAAATGAATTTATATAGAGGAAGCATTTAGATTATGGGCCAATCAATGAAATCAAATAGTAGATATATAGTATCAATTGCATTTTAAGTGTCGAATCATAGTTCGACCCGTAGGTTTTTATGGTCTAATTTTTATGGGGTAGTTATCTTAGGGTCATTGGAATGGTGACCGTAGGTGATTTTTGGTCCACTAACATTTTTAGAAGGATTCACCACTGAATTTGTTCTACGCATTTTCATCTACGGATTTGTCAGTATTCACACCTTCATTGTTACTCCTTGCTATGAAGTACGTTTTATTTAAGTTAGTGGTTATTTAAGTAAGCGTGTGACTCGATTTTGTGGCACTAAACATTTTAGCCAGCAGGTCACTATTCTTATATGTTCTCAATCTACATTTGCGTCCTGAATTAACAAGTCAATAGTTGGTTTTTACTTGACAGTCGAGTAACATTTTCATTCCTTATAAAATATAGCTCGTCATGGATGATCTGGATTAACAAACATATATATTTCACACTGGTAACATTCGGCGTTTTAAATCACTTGATTTACTAAGTGTCCAAAAGCAGGGTTTTAAGTTTCACTGTTTAACAAACATAAAAACCGTTCGGTACTTATGATTTTACGAGATCCAATTTCATATGCGGAAGATTCTTGTGATAAATATTACCATTATCAAGCGTGGGTTAGACCTATAAATTTTGATTTATTTCGTTTTTGAGCTATTGCTAAGTATTTAATTTTGAAGTTTTTGTCGTTTGTTTCAAATGCTTTTAAGGCATCCCTAACACCAACAGCCTTCGGTACTACTTTGCCATTAAATAATACTGATGAAGCCTTTTTACAAGTTAATTCGACACAGCCCATTTCAGGAGTGAACAATGTGTATGATATAATGGATGGTAATGCCCTACAACGTTTTACCGATAAGGACCAACAGGATAATTTTGAGGCATCACAACTTGATACCAACCAACAAAAGGTTGCTATTAAAATCAAACATAATCACTCGAAAAAGTGTAAGTTAATGCTTGATTGTGTACACTATGATCATCACATCTTTAAGTCTTTAGATTAACTTTCATTTCTATCTTTTTATTGCAATGTGTAGATCAGACTCTAATACTTCTTGATTAAGTTTGTATTTGAAAGTTTGGAGCGCATTAAATGTACTCTAAATATCTAAATATTTCTTCCAATTGATCTCAATAAAATAACTTTATGAGTAAAAATGACTAGGTGACCCAGTCCACGTCGGCGACAGAGCTGTCAAATCTCTAGTAGTCCTATAAGCATTCGGTTTTTATTGTCTCGATTAGTGTTGAGTAACTTACACATGCAGTGTTGAAATAAGTCCATATTGATGAAGTAACTCATCCACCTAAGGAACGTATGATACACTCACTGTAACACAACCTTAGTTTATTTGTTTCTAAATGAGAACTTGTCACGGTAGTCAGTTGTTTAGGTGATTTGACTCGGTCTTTTTAAGAATACCTTGTTTTTTTTAACAAAGCGCTCAGTTAAGTCCTGGTGTTTTTTCACATTATCTACTCAAAAATTTAGCACATAAAAGCTCGATGAACATGCAAGCCGTATTTCTTCATGTGTTGGCTGATTTCATGGGTTCCGTTATCGTAGTAGTCAGCGCACTTGTATTATTGTTAGTCCCCGGTGAGGTTTCCAAAGGTGAAGCATTATGGAAGTTGTATATTGATCCATCTATGAGGTAAGTTCTATTGCTTTTGAAGAAAAACGTTGAATTTAAGAAATCTGTTTTAGTTGTGTCGATACCAAGCTATTTGTATACTGTTACATTTTAGAAATAGGAATATATCAATGGGGGGGGGTTATTAAGCAGCATAAAGGAAGGTAAGAAGACGAAGGACTAGCGCACACGTGTGTAACTACTGTTTTTTGACCTATAGGTCTCAATGCTCTGTGGCGACTCCATATTAAATTCTACCGAAATGTATTGTTCCATTTCATCAATTGTTTCTGCCACATTTAGTTTCGTGAAGAACGGTAAGACTTTACTTCACAATTTATTCGAAATCACACGAAATTGAAACCACCATCAGTCTAATAAAAAGTATAGTATCAATAACTCACCCACTAGATGTATGTCACATCCCTTTGTATACGAAGTCGTATGTTCTCACTTTTATCGGGAATCTACGTTGTTGCTGACTGACTAATTGACCGGGAATCTCTATCACAACCAAATAAAATGTATGGAGTTTACTATGTATTAAATTACTGTATGCGTACCTGAAGGAATGTTTTAAACACAGTACTTAGTGTTCCCCATCCTTTTAAAACGTTTCTCAGTACAATCTATCGTTGAAATTAACGTAGTCTTATTTTGATTGTCGATGTCTTACCATTTTTGATAAATCTTCTGGCTTGATTCCAGAATATTATTACCAAAATGACAACCTAATTCGTTTAGCACCTTTTACAGTGAGACAAAATTTTCATTTACTTTTTGCTTAAAAATATCAATATACAGTCAACTAATTCCCAGCACCATAGCACATTTAAAGATGTTAGGGTAATTGGTTAGCTTTGAGTACATTAGCACTAGTTTAACATTCTATTTGTTTTGGCTTTGAAAACCAGTTTATCTGTGACCATACTGTACTAGCTCTTACCTTTTTTATTTATTAGCTCATCAGAATTTGCATTAATTTGTTCCACACTTTTTCATTGTGCCATTACTTTGCCTTCTAAATAATCGAAGAATTCCAGACTTTTCACTTGGCCTATTATCGCATCTGCGTATCTAGTCCGGAATATCAAACATATCGACTGCAAAATTAATTTTATTGTAAAAACCATATTTAAAATCCTATGAATTTTTGGATATTCAGCGTGAAAGGATAAAGTTAAGATCGACCGAAAAATCAGTAGTATATGAATAAATGGAATCATAATAATTACCGATTCGACTCCTAGCGGTAGAAAGGGATTGTTATTGCGTTCTCAATATAGTAGTACAGCCTCACTGATGGTATTAGGGATGTTTTATTAGGTCAATGATGATTAGTACTGTTCGTTACTTTTGAATGGTCCGACAAATTCAAATTATTTGTTAGTTTTCGGTTATTTTACTACCATGTTGTATTCATGGATTTTTCTGACGAAGAGTAAATCTCATGTTTTCGGCGAAAGATGGCTCTTAACAAAAGATAACATTAAATACAATCTGTTTGTATGTTTAGAATATAATCGTAAGTTGTGACTTTATAAATCGATTAACTGTATTTTGTTCTACCATTAAGTGAAAGAACGGCTTAATTAGAAATGGTTTTAAGTTTCTTCACAGTGAAAAAAGCTTTTTAGTTATCCTGAGACAAATAATTCTCGTTCTAAAATTTGAAAAATATTACATGCCTGGTGAAATATCGCTAATGAAAAAGATAATTTTGTTACCATCTACTATCAAGTTAATAGTGACTGGTTAATTTATGACAATGTCCTAGTTATCTTGGTTAGTTTTTAAAATGGTTTTGGGATACTATGACAGTTCTAAAATTAGCTCTTTCTCAATAACATTTTTGCAGTAACATTAAAAACAATATAAATGGCGGTTTGTTATAGTGATCTTCCATTTAATTGTATAAACTTTGACCAATCTTTAGACATTGGTTATATTAATTAATCCTATGGATAGTAATATCATATAGTTACTACAGCTTGACGTATTAACTGAATAGTTTGCTTAGTTACATTACCTACTATATCATCATTTCGACCAATTCCTGGGTTTTGTTTCATAGGATAATCAAAGTAGTGTTTTATTATTTTTTTTAAAAATTTGACGCTTGAGTAGTCAACTTTTTTGAGCATTTATAAGTTCTTTGTGTATTTTGTTTCTATATTTTAAATTGTTTAGCATACTCATGGTTACCATAATCTTGATTACTGCTATACCCCTCAGTAAGTCTTCAGTTTTAGTTTTTGTACTTTTGTGAAGCTTATGAAAATCATAGTTTGTAGGGATGACTGATTAAATGGTAAAATGTCGATACTAAAAAATGACAAGATGATGGTAATCGACAACTACTGACAAGACTAGATTTTCTGATCTGTTGGATTGTCATAATCTGCAAACTGGGTGGTAGTAAAAAAATTAAATAATTCCTCAATAGTGACCGTTTTATTCGATCTAGTGAAATGTTTTGTAGTATGTGTAAGTATTAGATAAGATAAACTAGTTAAAAATCGCACAACACATAGCCTATTGACATGATATTCGAAAATTATTAGATATTTGGTGAGTTTAGGACTTCGTACCTTGGATTTCCAAATATTTTTGGTACATTATCACGTACATTTATTCTCTTATGCGAAACTACTATTGATGTGCCAATATCTTTAAAACATATCACTAAGCAAACTATGCAAAGTAATTATGTTTGAATGTTATCGAACTGACATACTATAATCTTTATGTATTTACCAGATTTATTTATATTGTCTCCCACGTATCTTTCTGTTAAATAATATTAGCAATCACTCTTTAGATTTTGTGATTATGGTGACTTATATACTACTTTTTTGGTCAAAATATAAGATGTTTATTCGTATGAGAATTTATTTTGATTTGATTTATTACTCCTATTTACACTGCGCTTATCCGGGGACCCTGTGGCATCTTCGTCTAGTCTTGCTGGCGTTGGTGTCGCACTAAGCGCTAGAGCTGAGGCAGCACTAGTCGATTGGATCCCCATTAACAGTCGGTTATGTGCTGTTAGATTAGAAAGTTCCATCAAAGTGAGAAGAAATCGGCGTGAGAAACGATGTCTTTTCGTCATCTCCGCCTATGCCCCGACAGATTGCAGCCCGGATGCAATCAAGGATGAGTTTTACCACCAGTTATCTGTTCTTCTCCAGAAAGTGCGTTCGACAGATATTGTGGTACTAGCCGGAGACTTGAATGCTCAGGTCGGGCGTCTAGGCACAGAAGAGAGTCGTTTAGGTGGTCGATGGGGACTCGTTGGTCGCAGGTCAGATAACGGGGACCATCTACTGCAACTTTGCACAGACCACAATCTGTTTCTGGCTAGCACTAACTTTCGGCGCAGTCATCGCCGATGTGCCACCTGGCGTCCTCCCTCTGCATCTCAAGCCTGGACTCAGATTGATCACATCGCGATCAGCTACTGCTGGCGTGGTTGTGTACAAGACTGCCGCTCCTTTTGGAGTACCTATCTGGACTCTGACCATGCCTTGGTCTGCGCCAATCTTGCCTTACTTTTCAGTGGACAACGAAGTGACCGCCATCAACGGATTGATATTAGCAAGCTGGTTGCAACTTCTGTTGCAAGTACGTATCGAACCGAGCTAGCCTCTAAGCTAGCTACCATTCCACTGAAAAGTATAGATGAGCATTGGTTGCAATTACATGACGCCATGAAAATGGCGGGTACAGTCAGTTGTGGGTTCGCGAAACGTCCCGCTTATGAGCACTGGGTTTCTTCTGGTTCCTTACAACTCATTAAAGCCCGTCAGTCTACTCCGGGTGACCGTGAGTTTGACCACAAACGAAGGATGTTACGTAAGGAAATTGGGCAAAGCTTGCGTAAGGACCGAGAAGCCTGGTGGTTGGAGCGTGCTAATGAGCTGGAAGCAGCAGCTGCATCTGGTAATTACCGGAAGCTCTTCCAACTCATCCGAGCCACTGGCAGCAAGAAGTCTGGTGTGAGTGAAACAATCTGCGAGGATGATGGGATGCCAATCACTAAGATCCATCGACGTCTTGGACGATGGGCGGAATTTTTCGAAGGGCAGTTCAACTGGCTTGCTGCTCCGGCAACATCGGTCAGACTGTCCTGCCCTCCATGGCCAATGACGATTGATCCACCAAGTGAGGCGGAGGTCCGCAAGGAACTCCAACTCTTGAAGCGTTACAAATCACCTGGCCCAGATGACTTACCTCCGACTCTTTTTAAAGATGGTGGTGACTTTTTGACTAAGGAACTGACGACGTTGTTTACAAAGGTTTGGGAACTAGAGAGTGTACCAACGTCATGGAATGAGTCGATAGTTGTCCCTATCTTTAAAAAGGGTTCACGTCGTTCCTGTAACAACTATCGGGGGATAAGTCTACTTCCGATTGCGTCCAAGCTATTGGCTTCCGTCATTCTTCGTAGGTTGTTCAAAACCCGAGAAAGATTGACTCGCGAGGAGCAGGCTGGGTTTCGTTCTGGTCGAGGATGTATTGATCATATCTTCACCCTCCGCCAAATGTTAGAACACCGCCATACTTTTCAAAGGCCAACAATCGTAGTGTTTCTCGACATCAGGGCTGCCTTCGATTCGTTGGACAGGGCTGTTCTCTGGGATTGTCTATTGAAGAAGGGTGTGCCTGAGAAGTTTATTAACATCCTGTCTCCGAAGGATTGCTGACATTCAGTGGCAACACCATGTCAGTAATGCAGAGGTTCGGCATCGTGTGTTCGGGCACAGAGATGATAATTCAATTGGTGTCACCATCTTGAAACACCGACTTCGGTGGCTTGGACATGTTCTCCGAATGTCGTCCCAGAGAATTCCACGTCGTGCATTATTTGCCGACTCTGGGACTTGTTGGAAGAAGCGGAGAGGTGGTCAGTGCATGACATGGTGTCGTGGTATGAAAGAAAGCTGCAAAGGACTGGCTTGTGTTGGTCCTTCACGACTCCCTGGTTGGGGTCTGAGAGATGGTGCTACACAGTGGCTAGAGACGTTATCAGATATGGCTCAGAATAGAAGCCAGTGGCGATCCTGCTGTAACCTTCTTTTACTTTCTTCATAAAAAGTGGTTGTGTCTCCTTTACCTGAAAGATTTCTTCTGATTGTACCTTTTCGTTCCGTCGTTACTACCACACTACCTTACACCAATCTCCTCGTTATTGTTCTTTTTTTCTATTTCTCTTCGAATTCTCATTGTTTTGTGTGGCGCATATATATTGGCGCTCTCTTGTACCAATATTTATGTGTTCAAATAAATGAATAAATATCACCTAGACATGAATAATATTTAAGGAGTTTTATCTTGTAGTATAAGTCCCATCTGTATTTTAAAGGTCTTTGAATCTGATGACGTATGGTTACAATAATGAAACAGTATCTGCGAACAAGTTTTTTTCCAACCAGGGTCCATTTTTCGTGTATACAACGTTCCAGCCTCAAGATAATAGGATTCTTAGAACACTCTAGTTATTGAGACTAGCTGTTGAACGAACTTATAGATTTGTTACATGATGTCACACTACTTTAAGTATTTTCTTGTACCATATAGTTATAATAATTTAAACTACTTATACTCGTAACGTCTTAAATTTCCAAGTGAATTTCCTTCAAGAATTGCAATAAAATATTGACATATTAAAACTTATAATATCAGGTTCTTCGTTCTTCGTAAGATAGCTTTTTATGAGAATCATTCCGTTCTGAACTTAGTTGGTAAGTCAGCGATAAGTGAGATAAGAGTCCGTTACAAATGGGTATCGGCTCATGTTACCATATCATATCAGTATGATGTGATGAAATTATTATGACAAGTATCATAGTAGTATGTGTAGTAGTGTCAGTGATAATAAAAAATTAGATAGCGAATATGATTTAAAAAAAGGAATGGGTATAAAACAATTTTAGAACTCATGATCTAAGGCTGGTTAAAGACCTTCTAGCTCCCTTCCAATTTACTCCCACACCAACCAGCATTTTATGTCAGAGTAGACAATTGTTGGACATACAAAACGTATGTACCAGGCGCCTCAGTCGAGGAGGAGTTGGATGGTGCTTCCAAGTCAGGAAATATTATTATCATTGTTATTATCATTAACATAATTATTACTACCTGTCGCTGTCCCCTTTTCCATTCGTTTTTATTTACTCGTTTAGTTTTCTTCGGTTCGTATATAACTTCTCTTTGTGTTTAAAGCCTGACAGAAGTTGTTGAGTATCTGTCATTTCACTAGATACCACTAAAGATCACTGATCTTTTTCCACATTTTGATTTTATTGGCTGATAGATATTATTGCCGTCTTCAAAGCCGTTAAAATATTGTACAGAGCTGCTTCAGGATGAACACCTATTTAGTGATTGAATAAGTGCTTTCAATTGTCTCTCAGTCAGTCAGTAACAACGTAGAACTTCGTACGTACGTACATCAGTTCGAGTTGCCACACCACATTAGCACAGAGATGCAGTGGTCGATTAAAATCCCGTAGTGGTAGAGGTAATAAGAGTATAAGCAGTAATCAGGAAAATTAGGGTTTGGAGATGTTATTTAAAGAGTATAATACAGTGAAATAAATTTGGGAAGAGAGAAAAAAGGGACAAGGAGGAATCAGGAGATCAAAATTTGGGAGAACACAAAGAGTGTATGCACCTGCGCCATTGCAAACGATTTCGAGCCATGTCATTCAGGGTCTCTAACCATCGGTTGCTATCATCTCGCGGTCCCCAACCAGGTAGTCTACACCTACCGACATGACTCAGTCCACTTGTCAGTGACTTCATGGACTTGTGCCATGTTTTGGTCTGGCCGCCCCTAGCTTTCTTCCAACCTACTCCTATACCACTGAACATAGCACGTCGAGGCAGTCGGTGGTTGGGCATACGTAACACGTGTCCAAGCCATCTCAACTGATAAAGTGTCACCACTTCATCCATTGATTTGTCATCCTTACCTAGTACCCGTTTCTTAACAACTGCATCACTTACTCGATGGTCCCAGGATATATGAGCAATGTTTCGAAGACGCCTATGATCAAATACTAGTAACCTACGAATATCCTCTACTCTTACCGGCCATGTTTCACTGCCATAAAGTAGGACGGAACGAACTGCTGCACAGTAAACTCGTCCTTTGGTTAATAGACGGATATCTCGCCTACGCCATAAATGACGCAAGTTGGCAAAAGCTAGTCGAGCCTTCTGTATCCGT